GAATAATTTATTTAATTAGGTTTAGGCAAAGGTTATATCTCCTTTTGGCAAGACAACTGGTTGGGGCCAAGCTCTATTGATAGCTTTCTTAATACGAATTATTTTGATAATATTAAGGTTAATAGTTTATTTTGATAATGGTTGTTGGAATGTCAATAAACTTTTGGACGTCATTCATACTCTGTTAAGTCATGGTATCATGAATATTCCATTACAAATACATTGTGATGACTAAATTTTATTTAATTTGTCTTCTTCTGGTAAGTTCCATCTGAAGAATGTTTGTAATGCTATTAGAGTTAATAAGGAGAATTCTAACATTTATTATGCTATTTTTCATAACAACCTTCTTGTTTTCTATTCCATCCTTTTTGGAGGTTTCCTAAAGGTTTTCTCCCTGTTGATGAGCTGCTTTGAAAAAAAGGCTTTATTTTTTCTTCTAAATATCAATGTTGTTTTAATATTGAAACTACCAATCATGTGTTTGTTAATGGGGTTATTGCTCAAAAAGTTTGGAATTATTTCTATAGTCTGGCTAGCAAGGGTAATTTTAATATTAATAGTGATGTTTTGTCTATTTTAAAGTGTTTGTTGAATACCACTAAAGGCCACATCTGTAACGTATTGCCGATCCTTACTTTGGAGGGCTAGAAAAGATGTCACGCATAATGACATTAAGATAGATGCTAATCAAATTATTGTTAATGTTAGAGACAAAATTTTGCAATTTTACTATATCAATCTTATTTCTGTCAAAAACTTTTGCAAAATTTTTTATATGGCTTTAAAATTGGGAATATCCATTGATTGTATATAGTTGGATAGAGTTGAGAGGATTGTGAGGTGGATCAAACCTTCCCCTCCTTATGTTAAACTTAATTATGATGGTTATGTTCGGCCCTCTTTTAAGAGTGCGGGTGGCATTATTCATAACCAGTTTGGTTGTATGATTGATGTTTATGTTGTTATGCTGGTCCTTTAAAAGCTTGTAGTGTTATTTCTGTTGACCTTATGGGTGTGTCATATGGGCTTGATATTTGCCATAGATTAGGGTTTAATTCAAATCCTTAATAATGTGTGGATTGAGGTGGATGTTGTCCTTTTAATTCAAATCCTTAAAAATGTGATGCGTGACAACCCTCAAAACTTTTTTTTTATTAAATATTAGAAAAGTTAAACAAGCCCTATCTTCCCTTACTTTATTACTCATATTTATCGGGAAGCCAATTCCTATGCGCGCTGGTTGGAAAAATTTGGATGTGATATTGATGTTTTTTAGGAGTTTAATGTTATGGAGTTACCTCTCATGGTGAAAGGATTGATTAATTTGGACAAAACTGGGCTACCTTACATTCATAATATTTAATGATTTTGGTTTTTGTGGTTTTATGGTTTGGCTGGTTCTTTGCTCTATATTTCTCTATTTTGAACTCTATGTTGGTGTTGTGTGTGGTGATCCTCTGCATGTCTGGTTCTCTCGATTGTTGTGTGGTCTCATCCTTAACCGTTTTTATGGGTGTTTGGCCTATTTTATTTTATTTGGTTGGAATGTGTTATCATCTAGAAATATACATAGTCTTAATCCTATTTATTTAGTATTATCATTTATCTGGCTTGGTTATTGGGGTCATTTACTAGGTGGAGGTATCATTTGGAAATGGTTTATTTATCCATTTCTTTTGTCTACTTTGGGCTTGTTATTTCTCTATCTATGGGTGCTTTTGTTTTCTGTCTTGTGCCTCTTTGTTATTGGGTTGCTCCTCTCCACTGGAATATAATATAATGGTTTTTTGTGTTGGGATTTGTTGTTCTGTGGAGCGGTTATGGCTTGCTAGAGTTTGGTTTCTCTTTGTTAACCTGTTATTTGTTTCCCATTTCAGGTGGTAATGTATTGTTTTGTGACCAGGTTATTCAAGCTCGAGGCTGTTTGCACTATCTACAATAACAACAAGTGTTTACCTGATAATTATTTTGCTGGTTATGCCTATCATAATAGTTTATGTTTTTTAATTTCTCTATGTTACCACTTTATTCTATGTTTCTTTACCATCTTTTGTGATAGTTTTTACCCTGGGCAGGTGTGCTGGTTTAATGTTGATGGGTGCTTGCTCGACTTTTTCTGTAGAAAGATTGTGCTGATTGAGTTTTATTTGTTCCTTCTTTTTGGGCGCTAGCTCTTTGTCGCCTTAGTATGTTGCTATGCTATTTTGTATTTGACTTAGTCACAAAAAGAATTTAAGATATGATTTGTTCTAATACAAAATTATTGAATGAAGTTAACTTACCTTAATTTGATGTTATAGGAAAAGCTCATAAATTCCTAATAAGCATAGGAGTAGGGTGAAGTTAGACCAACTTGTTACAAATCTCTTTGGTGCACTATCTTGTGTGCTTAAATACACAAATATTTAAACATTATTGGGCTATTTCTATACATTAGGAGATATATCTAAATGTCCTGCTTAATCAAATAAAAAAAATATTGACATCATGCACCTCTAAAGTAGCAGGGGAATTATATAAATTAAAAGGCATCTTCCTAATTGCAAATGTTCCATAATGACAGGTAAATGTAGTCTTATTATGGTCTTCTAGTGCTATAGGAATCTAATGGTATCCTAAATATCCATCTAAGAAGTTGTAAAAAAGATGTCCAGCTAACCGATCTAACATCTGGTCAATGAAAAGAAAAGGAAAATGGTCATTCCTAATTGCTTTATTTAGTTTATTATAGTATATATACATTCTCCAATCAATTACTATCCTAGTAGAGATCAATCCATTTTTCTCATTATTTTCTATAGTTAGAGCCCTTTTTTTGGGAACACAATATATAGGACTAACCAAAGTATTATATGAAATTGGGTAAATAATTCCTGCATCTAACCACTTTAGTATCTTCTAGTTAACTACTTCTTTCATAACATGGCTCAATCTTCTTTCAGGATCATCTCTGGGAAAAGAATATTCTTCCATTAGAATCTTGTGCATGCACAAGGATGGACTAACTTTTTTAATGCCAACTATGGACAAACCAAAAGCTTTCTAATAAGCACTAAAAACCCTAATCAACTTACACTCTCGATCTTCTCCTAACTCAATAAAAAGGATCACATGTAATGTTGGCTCTTCTCCTCATAATACATACTTTAAATGAGCAGGTAAGTATTTTAACTCTGAAATGGGTGCCTCAATAATAGAAGGTTTCAAAGACATAACTAGGGATCATGTATCAAGCACATCAAACCTTTCCCTATAAATTCGAGGAGCTTTACAAACCAAAGGAACATAATCTATATATCCCTCTTAAATGTCATCCTCACACTAAGGAATCTCCAAAGAACTTTCCAACAACAGTTCATCCACACAATCTTTCACACAATCATTAACTAAGTTTACTTTATGACAATCCTCATTTTGGCCACTAGGAAATTTTATTAACTTTAAGATATTGAAGGCCACATTCTAATTTTGTACTCTCATTATTAATTCTTGCTTTTGGGCATCTATTATGGACCTACTACTGGCTAGAAAAAAGTCTACCTAAAATAATTGGTATCTTCCTATCTTCTTTAATATCTACGAAAAGAAAATCTACGAGAAATACAAACTTATCTATCTTAGCTAACATATCCTCTACCACCCTCTTTAAATAGGTAAATGAATGGTCTACTAACTAAAGGATAATAGTGATATGCTGGACTTCTCCTATATCCAGTCTTTTGAAAATGGACAAGTGCATTAAATTGATGTTAAATCCTAATTCACATAGTGCCATCCCATAAAATTTGTCCCTTATAGCCATAAGAATGGAAAAACAACTAGAGTCCTTAATCTTTTAAGGAAGTTTCTTTTGCAAGATTGCATAACACTTCTTAATTGAAGCTACAATCTCAAAATCTTATAATCTTGTTTACTTATTAAAGATATATTTTATGAACTTAGCATAGATAGACATTTGTTCAAAGAGTTTTGTAATTGGAATGTTGATAGTAAACAATTTAAATTTTCAAAAACTAAAAAATTACTTATCCAAATTTTGCTTTAACAAGCCTTGGGAAAATGGTGGTGGTGGCCTCTCAATATTCTCTCTAACAAATTTTACTACTTCTTGCTCCGGTTGAGGTTGTTCCTTAGGTTTACAATTTTCTTTTGATTCTTTTACAATTTCCTCCTCCACAAATTGATCTTTACTCCTAAATACTTTTTGAACTCTTTCTCCCTCCTCAATTAAATAGCTTGGCATTTTATTTTCCCTTTTCCTTAGGATTTATTTCATTATTACTAGGTAAAGTTCCTTGTGGTGTATTAGTTAAAGAACTAGCTAATTATCTTAATTTGATTTCAATATTTGTAATGGCAATAGCTTGGATTTGTAATTGGGTACCCATTTAAAAAACTAATTCCTCTAAATAGTGTTGTCATCCTTAGCTAGTTGTTTGAGTTAATCTATGGGATAATTAGGCCTTGGGTTTGCAAAATTTTTTAAGTGGGTGGTTCCAATTCCCTGTTTGATTTGGCTAGTTTAAATTCCAATTTACATTATTATTTTGATTATTATTATTATTATTATAAAAATTATAATGATTTTTCCATCCAGGATTATAGGTATTCGAATAAGGATTATTATTTTTGCTATAAATTATATTAATTAACTCTACTCCATAAACATTGAGATGACTAGAGGTTTCATAAATAAATTTAGTTTAAAATCACAAGTAAATCTTTAGGTAAACTAATTTAAGTTATATAAATTTTCTACATATGGCAGCTACTTGATCAATTAAAATTGACAAAGCATCAAATTAAAAAATGTTAGCTATCTTTCTAGGATTGATTTCTTCTGATGGCCATTGAAGTTGTCGGCATCCATCACCTCAATTAAAGTATAAGCCTTATCAAAAGGCTTTGACATTAGCGAACCACCACCAGCAGCATCAATAGTTGATCTAAGGGATCTTATAAAGCCATTTTAAAAGTTTGATGATTAATCAATAAGGAGAGCATGATGTTGACATTTACTAAGAAGTTCTTTAAATCTTTCCCATTGTTCATAAATATGCTCGCCATTTAACTAGGTAAAAGATGTGATGTCATTTCTCAACTTAGCAATTTTAGATGGTGGAAAATATTTGGATAAAAATTTATGGGCAAAATTCATTCCTTATTATTATTGAGCATGGGGGCAATGAGTTTAACCATATTTTAGCTTTATCTCTAACAAAAAATGGAATCAACCTAAGTCTAATAGCAACATCACTAACACCATTATATTTAAAAATTACACAAATCTTAAGAAAACTGGTTATATGCAAAGTAGGATATTCTAAAGATGTTCCCCCAAATTGAGAGTTTTGCATCATTTAGATTATGGTAGGTTTTGATTCAAAATCATTGGCTTGAATGCTAGGTTTGTTTATGCTTTGATGGATACCCTTCTACCATAGGATTAGCATATTCCCTAAGCAATCTAGGTTAATTATATTCAGAAAGTTATTCAACCATTTTTACTTCTTTTTGAAATTTTGAGTTTTTCTAATTTTTCTTGAAGACTTTTCTATTTTAGTGTCAAAGAGAAGTTCTACTGGTTGTTTAATAATACACATGTAACACAATATAAAATACATGAAAGTAATAGTTAAGAAATAAGAAAAGCAAAATTAAGCAAGTAAAAATTGAAAAGAAATATAAATTGAGCAAGTAATGGGTTTAGCAATATAAAATGCATAATAGATTAATAATTTCAATATTTGTATCCCCAAAAATGATGCTAAAAATTTGACAGCCTATTTGGCTAGCTATGTAGATGATGCAAACCTACATGTTATAGCTTACACGCACTATTAATATCACTAAATATAATTGAAATTTACTATGAAGTAAGACCTATTTAATGAAAGTGCATGCATGCGTCGTGTCAAGTAATATAAAAATGAGAAAAATGTGGATCCCATGAGGAACAAACTAGAAATTACTAAGCTTGACTTAGTATTGTGCATTGAATTGCTAAGTTTATCTAGTATAAGAATTAAATATGGGTGGAGCAAGTGAAATTTAAAAAGTTTCAATTGAAAAAAAGAAATTCACTAATTTTAAAAAACTTAAACCTATGATTTTCCAAAGAACATGATTGTTGTTGAGTGGTTTACTTCCTATTGTTGGTGTGGATTAGAGTATAAGTACTCCTTATCTCTATCAAGCTTGTTGGTGCATTAGTTAGGATCCCTCCTAACTATAGTTAATTTATCTCCTTAAGACCCCATAATCCTGACCACTATATGTCTATATTATGGCTAGACTACATTATAAAATTTTTAATTATTTTCCTATTCCTCCATCGAGACTCTAGATCACACTAGATTTTTAATTTAAGGCCTAATACATAAATAAATTGAAACCCATAAAAAATAGAAGTAGCTTGGATCATTTAAAGATTAACTTAGTCAAAGATATAAATGTACTTCAAATAATCATATATTCAAAGAAAATGCTTAACTACATATGGAGGTGATACAACACAACATATATTTTATTGTACTGAAATGAATAACAAGTTGAACAATAAATACAAGGTAAATAGGGAAAACAAAGTTTAGGAATGACCTGGAATTAAGAAACAAGCTTTTTTTACACTGCTTCTCTTTGATTCACATGTGTAACACTCTAAGTACAAACACTAAGCTACTCCCTCTCAAGAGTAGCCCACACAGTCACACATAATCACACAAAATGACTCCATAATATGTCAATCCCTTTTATAATATGTCTAAGGATATAATTTATATGTTTTCTAAATAACTAAACTAGGACTGTGATGCTGGCTTGAAGGTGATGCATTACTCTTAAAGCAACGCGTCGATTCATCAATAGTTATTATGGTTCATTGGTTCAACCCTATGCATCACGACGCTGATTGGATAGCGACTTGGTGCCATGCACTCAAATCCATTTCTAAGAGCTCTCCACTGTAGCGTTATTGATGTGGCGTAGGAATGAGTTTGGGAATTGCGATGTTGGTTCACTTTTTAAATTTTTTTTACTATTTTTCGACACATAACACAAGGATTACAAACACAAAATATCACAATAAATGTAATTTGAATCAAATAAGTTTTACCTTATCAATGTAAAATCATGGTTTGCTTTTTCTTTTACTTTTTTTTCCTTTTATTTCATGCAATCTTTATTTATAAAATATTTGGTTTGATCATATGGTGATTGCAATCATTCATAAATTTTGATTATTTGGAAGAACATTTACTTTGAATTAATTGTTAGTAATTATATTACTGCAAAATTTTTTTTTTTAAAAAGAAATATATATATTTCTATAAAATAAAAAGTATTTTTAGCACTACTTGATTGTATAACATTGTCATAAGTATCCAAAGTTGATTTTCATTGCATATTAGTTTGTTGTTCTTTAGTTAAAATGTTAATGTAACCAATTCACCACCCACCCCCTCTTGATTTTCCATAGCACTTTCAACTTATTCTTTGACAGAAGAAATGGCCTCCAATAATTTCCAATGGCAATTTGAAAGAGTTTACCCTATAAAGGTAGGCTGTGTGTATGAATTAGATACCCTATCAATCTTAACTACACAAGCAGTTCATTCCATAGTACTCCATTACCAGTTGAAGAGAGTGTTTATGGATCCTCTTATGACCCAAATGCATTAGGAATTGAATCCATAAATGCTATCAATAATTGACCTAATAACACTTTCTCTAATACTTAAATCATATTTAGAGAAACTAACCCAACTTTAATTGGAGTAATAATCAAAATGAAATTAATAATTTGAATTCTAACAAACAAAATCAAGTAGGATGGTGGAACCCACCTTAAAATTATGCAAACCCAAGGCCTAATTGCCCCATAGAATTAACTGATCAAATAATCAAATTAAGGATGAAAATCCTTTACTATAAGATTTAGTTTTATAAATTGGTACTCAGTTGTAAAGTCAGGTAGCTATAATTAAAAATATAAAAAATTAGTTGGGGAAATTAGTTATTTCTTTGAATAATATACCCCAGGGAACCTTTCCTAGTAATATCGAGGTAAATCAAAAAGAAAATGGTAAGGAACAATGTAAGTATATTCAACTAAGGAGTGAAAAAGAATTAGAGGAAGTAGTTAGGAAAGATGATAAGGTTGTAGAGAAAATTCTTGATGAAGTATCATTAAAATACTAAACCTGAGGAGCCATCCCAATCTACTAAGGAAATAGAAAGACTAATTAGGAAGATAGTTGAGAGACTACCACCACTTTTCCTCATAGATTTTTAAAATAAAATTAAGATATAAAATTTTCAAGATTCTTAGAGGTGTTGAAAAAGCTTACAATTAACATAAAACTTATAGAAGCCTATGAAAATGCCTACCTATGCAAAATTTATGAAAGATATTTAAGTAAAAAAAAAAACTAATAGGAGACTTTGAAATAGTAGCCCTTATAGAGAAATATTGAGCCAACAATCAAAAGAAAATCTCACAAAAATCTAAGGTTCCTTATAGTTCACCATTCCTATGGCTATAGAAGTTAGGTTTTGTGAGAGAGTGATATGTGACTTTGGTGCGTGCTAACATCAACCTTATGCCCTTATCATTTTTTAAAAGATTAGACATAAGAGAAGTCCAACCTACCATTGTTACCCTGTAGTTAGCTGATAATTCATTCACCTATCCAAAAGGAATGATAGAGAATGTATTAGTGAAGATTGATGAGTTCATTTTTCCACAGGATTTAATTATTCTAAATATGAATGAAAACATGAAAATTCCTATCACCTTAGGTAAACCTTTCTTAGCCATAGGTAGGGCTATGCAAGATGTTCAGAGCGGTGAGCTTACCATGAGAGACTAGGATCAAGAAATCACCTTCAATGACCAAATGCCAATTTATTTTCATGCTATAAAATGTCCAAGATATCAAAGATAAGTATATGATGAATCATAAATGACTTTATTTGAACACTTCGACTAAGGGTTCTCTAGATCTACATCTCATAGTTGGAGTAATCCTACTTGCTATTGGTCTCTACACAATTTTTAAATAATATCTACTACTATGAAGTATGACCCAATCCTTGTTTATAAGGGCAGTAATGGATATGTTCTACCTTATATATCCCCTCATGTTTCTTAGGCTCTAGGAGTTACATTCATATCAATATATTGAATTTCTTTTCAACACACACTTTTTTGAATGAGTTAATTCTTATTCATAAGATCTCATAGTGCCCAATTATGAAAATTCACTAGTGTAATATTTTGGAGATGGTGCATGGGAAAACAATAACTTATTCACCTAATTATCTAAATTATATATATACATATATACTTACACACATACTCAGAGAGGATTCAAAGAGGGGCCAGCAGTGGTACATGCCCTCCCTCCCTCCTCTTTAAAAAAAAAAAAGATGTCTAATTGAGGATTAAAAAAAAGCTGTAGGCATGGGGTAGGTAAACGTAGGTACTTTACAGCTTGCATTAAAAATGCTGCATACCAATCAATAAAGCACGCTATGTTGAAGCCTACCTATAAATCAAGCAGTCTAATAAATAACATGACGGTGAAGCAAGCAATATCCATGGAATCACAAACCAGTCTATACAAAAATATAAAAAGTTTAATAAATCTTAGTAAATGGTAACTATGAGCTTCTTTCACTTTGTTTGTATTAATTTCAAAATCAAATCAATCACCATAGGAAAATTAGGCATTACTAGCAATATTTTCAATATTTTTCAGCAGTTAGTAATTTCTTTCACTTAGTTTTCTAAAATACCGACAGTTTTCCAGCTGTTAGTAAACCGCCAGTAAAAATCGCGTAGGAAATGATTTCCAGCGGTCAATTTACTCTGATTAATCTTACTGGCGGCTTACCGTCCATCTAAAACGTCGGTTTTACTGGTGGCCAAATTGTCGGTTTACAGCCGACGATCGCTAGTAAATATCCGATATTTACTGGCGGTTATATTAAACTTTCAGCGGTTATGATAAGTAGTCCAATATGGAAGTTTCTAACGGGCAAATTGTTGATTGGCCGCCAAAAACCTGTAGCATTTTAAAAAAAAATTGATAGCTTCCCCTCTATTTACTCAATTTTTCACAAACCTGCATAGAATTAAAAACATATATCACAAATATGGACAACCCGCCACTATAATCAACCTATAGCTATAGTCCAAAATCAACATATAACATTCAAATGAAATCAATAATAAGCATAACCAAATGTTTAAACAATAAGGTCACCAAACCAAATAAAATCTATAATAAACATAATATATAAATCTATAATTAGATGTTCATATCCTCGCTTTCATATAATAAGTTCATCAAACTAAATGTTTAAACCAAAAGTTCATCAAACAAATAAGAACACTAATTATGCTCCATGTCATTGCTGCCTGGTGATTCATGTGTATGCTCTTACTCTTTCTTATTTTGATTTTCATCTCTATAATATTGTAGCTCTACCTACATCTCATTTTGTACCTTTCTTATCTCTTATATCTCTCTCGTTAGGGCAGCAACCCTATGGCTAATAGTTTCTCCAGCTCCACTAGGATCATAAAATATTGATGTAGATAAGCTGCTCTCATAAGCATAGCCTTACGAACCCAAGCCATATACCTTCCCTCTCTGCCTTCTTCCAACAACATCTAACCACGCATGATACTCAAAATACTAGGTCGATCTTGAAGATAACCCCTCACCAGTAGATTAACGACTTTCTCGAACTCGTACAAAATCATCCTGCAAGAATAAATCCATAAAATAATTTGACATTAGAATGAGATTTTTTATATTAAATTTATATTCCTGAACTCTAAAAATTATACTCGCATGAGCTTTTTTCATCTTTTCATCAATCCAATGATGGTCAGTTTGATGTTAGTGAGTCATCATATGGAAGTACTCCAATGGTGTCGGCTCCCGGCCAAAAAACTCTTTCTGAAAATAGAAGATATAGTTAAAATAATATACATACATTTATTAAACTAATTGAAAGCTTTTATCAGGCATCGTCTATATTCAATATGAGGAACATATTCACCAGTATGAAGAGAGCTTCCTAAACCCCCACAATTAGATGCTATGTTCTGCTTATTTTGCTATCTTATTTTTATCAACTCAGGGCTTACCCAAGCTCTACTCAAATCTGCTCAATAACAATATGTTCTTCATCCAATATCTCTCTTCTTAAATAGTCATTTGGATGTTATAGCAAATGTTTCCCTATATAGTTGTGAAATTAATTATTAGTAGATATGCAGCCTGAACAAGTGTACGCGCTTTACTTTTGAACAAGTGTATCTTATTTGAATTAGAATGCATTCACCAACCATCCAATAGAAGTTTAGGGTTCGATACCTACGTTTGAACAAGATATTTAAGCATTGCAAGTATAACCACCATCTTATAGAAATTTCCCTTAAGTTTGAGGGGGACTTTTTTATCACACAACAAGTCCAAAACATTCCTCCACTTTAAGCATCAAAATCTGCGGTGCTCCGCCGGTTTCAACCGCCGAAAAAATTACTTAAAATCGGTAGCCTAAGCCGTCAGTAAAATAGAAAACCGGTGCCCTTGCAATGGGTTATTATACCGCCGCTAATTCCGGCAGTGTATTATTACAAACCGGCGGATAAATCGCCAATTATAACCGGCGGTTAGACCGCTGATAATACCGGTAGCTATATGACCGCCGGTAATGCCTGAATTTCATGTAGTGAGTCTTGTTATTAATATCATATATTTTATAAATTAATGAATGCTATAGACGTTGAAAGTAAATACGAAATTTTAGAAAAGCAAGAATTATAACTTTGTTTTTTTAAATTTTTAATATATCATAATCAATATTTATCTGATTTACAAATGATTTATAAATTTGGACAAATTAATTATGGTTAGAGTTTGCTCATATTTTTTTGCTTTAAAATTGTCTATGCCAGTTTAAGCCCGGAAGAAAAAAAAGTTTAGGAAAAAATCGTCTTTGTCGGTTTAAGCCTGGAAGTAAAAAAAGTATAAAAATTTTAAATCTTGTACTAGAAATCTACTTTACAAACAATAAGAAAAACATCCTAAATCGAGCCTTAGCCCCCCAACCAAAACCGGGCACGCCCCCCCCCCCCCCCCCCCAAATAAGAAAAAACATATCTGATTGTTGAATGAACAATCAGATACTAAAATAGAAATTAAAGAGACTAAAGGAGAATCATCCATTAAATAAATGAATAAGGTATGACCTTATAATAGGAGTTTAAACCTTATTTAGCCGCTAAACATTAATCCCTTGACCATATTAGACATCATATTATATATTATAACATATTCGTAATATGTCGAGCCAGTTTCAAAACTTCTACGAACTATGTTAGACTTTTTGAGCATTCTTTGAATCTTGTTACATTCTTACTCAAACTTTACTCAAACATTGTTTTAGACCATGTTAGAACTTTTCATAGAATCTCAGTCATATCTTCTTTCAAATTTTGTTTGTATATTATTCAAATCTTAGAATCTTAAGTTTGTTTGAAATTTATTTAATATTTGGTTCGAACCTTATTAGAACTTTGTTCAAATTTTATTAGTACTAATATTATTTCTGATGTAATTTTAAATAAATATTTATCAAATATAAGAGAAATAATTTTATTTGAAAAAAAAATTTGAATTTTTTTGGAACTTTTGAGTCAATTAAGTCAAATTCACATACACATCACATACGTAGGCTTCGAACCTAAGACCCATTGGTTGATATTGAAAGCTCACAACAAATAGATCAAGGTGAGCTAAAAAACAAATTGGAAATTAATTAAAATTAGAAGTAAATTTCTCCAAATTTTCAGGATAAAATAGTTTCTTGTAACAAACATGCAAGCTTGAAGCGTTTGAGTGGGGGTGTAAGTGAGTCAAGCCGATTTGTGAACCAGCTTGATAAATGGCTTGTGAATCGATCTTGATAAGCTAATGAGCCAAATTTGAGCCAGCCCCAACTAGACTCGTTATTTTTGGATTTTTACATCTATTTAATAAAAGAGGAACAAAATTCGGGATATAAAAAAAATTAAATTGAGACATTCTAAATTTTAGTTTTCTTAAAAAATATTACAAATAAATAAATTAAAGAAAACTCAGTGAAATGTTGATTGAAATCGTAAGTCTTATTCTTCAAAATGTTGATTAAGACTTGTAAGCCTTCTCCTTCTAATCACCTTATCAAATATATTTTAGTGACTGAACACATTCTATTAATATTGATGTACACTCTTTCTTTTGAATATAATATATTCTCAATATAATATTATTTTAAATTCAATTGTGTTATGTTTTTCACACAATTTCAATCTTAAAAATGAAAAGACTAAGAATGTGAATTTTTCTTATTCCTCTTTCTTATAAAACTTAAACTATTCTTTTATAAGAAAATTCAAATATTTTCAATTTGGACACCTCTATTCATAAGCATATTTTTGTAATTCATGAAGAATCTTTTTATATTAAAAAATATAGATCATTATTATGACACATCATCATCATCTCTATTAGTTTTATATAATATAAATAAAAGGTGGTCTTATAATTTAAGGTGTTATTAGTACAATCATAATTTAATATTTATATTTTGTCACATTATTAACAATAGTGTTCAATTAATTTATAATAACACTAAATAGATGAAGTTGAACTATGGACCTATAATTCAAGCTCCAACAAATTGTCCATTAATTTAACTCTCACATTAATAAATCAAAATTATTAATTTCAATGTTATTCTACTATAAATATGAAATTGTATACTTTAATTTATAGTATAATCAACTCAATTTAAAAGATTGAATCGTCCATCAATTTAATTATTACATATAAAATAATCTTTTATAAAAAATTCATAATCAGAGTTATATAATTATATCAACTGACTAATTACATATTTAGTCTTGAATTTCAATTAATTCTTTAACGAATAATAAACTTTACCACCTTATCATAAAATTTGAGCACTCAATTATTCAAGTTCTGAATTAATTATTTAAGATAAATAATTTTTTAATTTTCAAAGTCAAAAGAATAAATTCCATATCTGTATAACATTCACAGTCATTTGTTTTATTGTGCTTCTAAGATATTTTATTTCATCTAAACTATTTCTGAGTAGTAAAGAAATCAAATGTCACAAATATGAGTTTATTAATAACTCAAGATTAAGATTGTTTTATATATTATTATCTTTATGATAAATTTTAAAATTTTTTCAGTTAAAATAAAATTTATTAGATAATTAAAAATTTATCTGATCTAACTTATGTATAATCATATTATATAAAGTACATCCATCCTTAATTTCTACATATTGAATAATCTGGATAAGACTATTTCATTCTTAGGCTTCGTTTGTTTTTTTGGTGCTTTTGTAAAAGATAGTTTTAAAAAATATTAGTTCAGAAAATAGAGTTTTCTAACAGATAAGCATAAATAAAAACCTTTCTCAAAATTGTAGAAAAATGAAAAAAAAAGAGTTATTGGGAACGTGATTCGACGAACCAAACAAGACAAAAAAAATCATCCGTTTCCAAACGGAAAAGGCAAAAAAATGCTCAAACAAACAAAGCCTTAATGTTGATGGATCGTACTAATAATACTTAATTATATATTCTGACTCTAATTAATAGTTATGAAATTATTTATATTATTATCCATAATTTAATCGTCTTGTATATAATTATATACTGAATTATGATTACATAAATAATTATGTAATACATATAGTAACAAAATATTATATCAAATAATAATATCCGTGCATGTTAAACTTATATTTAAATATTTATTTCAACATAAAATGTATTACTATAATATTATTTTAGGACACACTCCCTAAAAATTAAGTCATATAGGCTGACTAGTTTAAAATGTATTAATATAAAATACACTTAAATATATTAAAATTTAAAATTTTAAGACATAAAGTTGTTGAAACTATTTATAAATTATATCTCAATTTCATATATTAAGAAATTTACTACTATTTCTAGATTCATCGGACGACCTCAACGGCGGGTATCCCAAAAGCTCATTCGATATCGCTCTCCTAGTTTTTTCTTTCATCGAATAATCTTTTCCTCGCTTGCAGAAGAAGTAAATGGCCGAGCACTCGACATCCGCGCAGCCATCCGACACCGAGACGGAGGTGATGCTGGACCGCATGCTTACCCGTCTAGCTCTTGCCGATGACTCCAAACTTGAGCAACTGCTAACGAAGATCCTCCCCTATTCCATCTCTTCGCTATCCTCTTCATCTCCTTCTGTCCGGAAGCTGGTATATCGCCGTCTTTCTCATTCTTGGCTCCATTGTTTTGGATTGATGGTTTGCTAATCATTAATCATCACCGAGTACCCATCTCTGCTATTGGGAAAAAAGATAATAGCTTTGGAGCTTACTTCTCTTTTGATTTGATTTGCATTAGGATTTATTAATACATAATTGGTTTAGTAGACATGGTGATGCTACGATGTGATGTTTTTTATGCATTTCCTCGTGCTGTTAGGTTATGGAGATTCTAACGCATGTGAACAAACGGGTAAAGCACCGCCTGGAAATTGGGTTGCCAGTGTTGGAGCTATGGAAGATTTATTGTGAGGCCACTGGTTTCCCCATGGTTAGAAATTTCTGTATAGTGTACATCGAGATGTGCTTTGATCGATTGCCTGCTGAGGTTGGACGCTTATTATTATAAATTTCTCTGTACTTCTTTTTACATGTTTTGAAAGTTTTGTTAATTTAGACATGACATTCTTGTTTTTAATTTTTTTTGGAATGGGGTGGATCAAATGTTGCAGGAGAAAGCCAATATGGCGCCTGATCTTTTAGTTAATGTCTCAAAGCTTCCTACCCAACATCAAGACATTATTTTGAGAATTATTTTGAAGGTAAACTTTGTTTTTGGTTTTGGAAGCTATGATTTCTATTGCTTATAGTTAATACAGGCTTGCTATCTGAGTATTCCTAAGACATCCAGTTACCATGTTTTTAACATAGAGACATAGTTTCTTTGTTGGAATAAAATCAAATTGGTTCAAGTACCTTCTTTGGCCTCTGCACAACTAGTGGGTTTGATGACCATTAAAAACTTAGAAGTTTTACCTATTGAAATTCTTTTATTATCTTTAGCTTATGAAGTTTAACTCAGTGTACTTTCTTTCGTGTTGAACCAGGATTTGAGATGTGATGTAAGCAAACTAGAAAGAAGAGCCAAGTTGGAGAACACAAGGACAATAAAACAAAAATCGAACATCCAGATAAACGAAAAGTCAAATAAAACGAAACAAAATTATAACATAAAAAATGCTATCCTCAGAACAACCGACAAGCGGTTTCCTCACATGCAACGAGAGTAGGAAAATATATGAAAAATAGTGCTTAGGCTTGCAAACCGAGGGTCCACCATTGCAAAAGGGTCCAACGTCCTACCAAACTCCTCCGACAAATGTCTCCCAAAATCAGCCAACAAACAGCTTCCAAATGCTTTAGAAGAAGGATACAGGTGGAGTGGAGCTTGCGTTGAGAAGAAGAGATTAGAAGCCAAGACGAAATAAAGAGGAGGAAAGGGGGTGGAACAAGCTCTCAAGCTTTTCCAAGAGAAGAAACCCTTAGGTTTTTAGCAATTTCTTTCAAGTTAATCAACAACCTTTTCATGAAAAAATCCTCTTATATATATAGGCAAAAAGGGGAGCCAAACAACCAACATTTACCTCCAACCAAACCAATAAGGTAAGGGGAAGAAGAAGGGTCAAAAGATACCACAAATAGCCCCCAAAATCTGTACAGAAAATAGGAAGGAAGATCACAGGAAACACAGCGAGGGAGCCACGGGAAAGCAGCCAGGGAGGGACCCGAGGAGCCAACACAGGAAACGGGACAGAGGGATTAATGGGAAAGTAGTCAGGGATAAAACCGAAAAGACAACAAGCCCACATCCATTATTCACAGGGAATAAACTAAAGAGACATAAGAATGGGAAGAAACAAGCTCCACTCCACATACCTTTATGAATTTATGAGCTAGGAAGTGTAATTATACCACCAAATAATGAGCTAAACTTTAGCTCAAGCATTAATGAGCTAGCACCAAGTAGAACCCAATTTTCCAGCTCAAAACCAAGCAGCCAAACCCTAACCCGAGAGCAGCCAAGGCCCAAACCGAGAAACAGAAAGCAGCCCAAGGACAAAAGGACCCAAATGCTAGCAAACCCAAGCCTTGCCATGCCCAAACACATCCTATTATGATCATTGGATGTTCTCCATCATTGAATAGCTTAAAAAAACATAAAACACAACTAATTTTGTTCAAATTACATCAAATTAAAATAAACCAAAATATGAATGCATCAAGATGTTAGTGCCACTTATGGGGGTTATTTCACCCCATTTTTAACTCAAAATTTTCAATTGCTTGGATTTTGAAATATTTAATTTTTGTGATTTTTTAGTACAATTGTGAGAATAGCATCTGTGAAGCTAAGATAGTTAAAAATAGACTTTTGGTGGTTTGGAAATTCATAATCAATGGTAGAAAATGAACTTTAAGATGGACAATTTAAAATTAATGTCAAAGAAATTAAGAAGGAAAGTGGTTTGACAAAAGTTGTTTAGATGTTGTGCAAAAGGATTTACGCATACTAGTTTCAACACCTTGTGTGATACTCAATAGGAAAGAATGAAGAAGTGAGTTCATAAAGCTAAGCCTAAATAGTTGGGATAAGGTTATTCATGATGATAATGATGATAGTCTAACTCAATAATGTGCACATACAACACAAGTAAAAACACAAAAGTAAAGAGCATGCATAGATACAGCAAGGAGAGACTCACGAATGCAAGTTATTTAGTCATGCATGGAGGCATACATATGCAAACAATCAATAATCACATGTACATAGTCATGTTAGAACCTCTACATATACATGCCATTGCAATCAATATTCTCATTGTAACAAGCTTGTTCGCATATCTCAGGTATGCTCAATGATTTGTTTCCACTTGTTGAGGTTGAGAACCACTTTCTTTCTTGGTTCCACTTATTAAGGTTGATGATGCCATGTGCTTGCAACTCTTAATTATGGCAGGGTACATAATAAGCTATTAGACCGGTCCACTGGACCGGTCCAGCTAGTCCATACCAGACTGGCTTACGGGAAATAGGCGGAAGTTCTCCGCCTCCTGTACGCAGGATCCAACTGCCTAACTCTTCAAAGAGCTGTTTAGGAAGGTTTTTGAAGGGTGTTGAGAGGGAAATTTCAAAGTAGGGGCTGTTTAGGGATTTCCTTTTGAATTATATGCATTAAATAGTTTGTTTTCCTAGGGGTAGGGCATTTTGAATTTGGCTGAAATTTGAGATCTCTTAGGTTTAGGTTTTAGGGCCCTAGCGTGGTGTTTAGTGATTTGGGAGAGATAGATTCTCCTCTCGAATAGAGGATCAATTGTATCTTGGTATTTTCTTTCCGTTCTATTTGATTTCTTGCAATAAAATTACTGTTTTTGCTGTTTTCCATTGGAGTTGTGGACTGTTTTTGCTATTTTACCAATAGTGATAGATTTTACTTGAAATCTTCATGCATTTCGTAACATAAGCCTTCTAAAATAACCATGAAGAGAAGCAAAAAATATTCAAATAAACTTAACAGGTTAAAAAAGCAATCCACTTAATTGAATTATAACGTAAAAAGGGTGAAATAGCATTCAATAGAGTGATTTTTAAAAATATATGATGAATTCAATTCTAATATTTTGTTAGAATAATAGACGCTTCATAATTACTCTTAACTTTTTGGTGGATCAGAAGGTGCTTATTCGTCATGAATGCATGTTGTTAAGATATGTATTAACAATAAGCAACTTGCATAGGCTGAGTTTTTTTTTTGCTTCTAACATGGCTAATTGAGATGCCTTTCTTGCTAAAAACTTTGCTTTACATTTATAACAGCATGTGATTGCTTGTTTTTATTATGTATATTAGAAGTGGAAAATTTGTTTTTTAGAATTCCGTTCTGTTCAACAATGTGAGGAATATTTTTATTTGTAAATACATACTTACTGATTTTTTTTTTAGTTCAGTCTTAACTTGAGAGTATATAGAAGATAATCTTTGATTATTGATGCTAAATTAATTTCAGGTGATCGGTGAGTGCCATTCAAGTCAGCTTGATGAAAATATTGGTGTAAAATACAAGTCTTGTGATGGTAAGGACAGGCAACTTTTTGTGGAATTTTGTCTCCATACGATTTTATACCAACCACCATCTCTTGGGTATGGCATCTGTGCCGTGGGCTACAGTGATTAGTTGTCAATTGTTTGTTGTCTTATCACCTCATGTACCAATCATCTTTTCTTTGAAGTGTTGGCTGCCCTGCTGGGCTTTCCATGGCTCAGTCAGATCGTATTACAGGAAAGTTGCCATTGAAAGGAGATGTGCTGCTAAAGAGAAAGGTAGCTTCGTTACTTCTTATGTTTGAAATTGTTGTCAACTGCTAAATAGTTGGCTTTTGTTTGTTATTATACTGTATTTTTGCTTTGATGCCTTAGGTGTTAATTTTGTTTCTTGCAGCTTGGGATTTTGAATGTTATTGAATCAATGCAGTTGACTCCTATGGTGGCCTATCCTATTTATCTAGCTGCTTCTTCAGACAGGTACATGCTTCCTTGTTATCATCCCAACAGGGCTGTAGCCATTTAATCTCAAAAGAGGACATTTCATTGATATCTTCCCCCTTTCGAATGTTTTAAAGTCAAGAGCATGTTGCTAAAAGAGGAGAGGATTTTCTGAAGCGCAAGACTGCTGGTGTCAATTTAGATGACCCTGATTTGATAAACAGATTATTTATTCTATTTAATGGTGAGCTGTTTCACGTTGTACTATTACAGATTGATATTAGGCTTGTCCGTCATTTATGATTTTTTTTTTGAGATTATTTGATGTAAATTTGGTGTCTGACCGCTGGCATGATCTTCAATTCCTAAGTTTTTTCTTAGGGCTACTGTTTGAACTTTGTTGGAGGAAAATGAGCACTTTGTGGCTCTTGTATGATAGAAGAGAAATAGGTTTCATAAACTTTTATACTGTTGGAGTGCTTGTTGGACTATATCTGTGCCTAAGTTCTGGATTACACAATTTTTAACATTCAAATGGTTCATGGACAAAGAAAGTGCAGCACAACTTGGATGAGAGAATAAGAGATTTCTCTTATTTGGGTTTGTAATTCCCCAGTGTAATGGGTGAACGAGTCTTCTTTAGGTGAGTAATTCAGCATTTGTTAGGGTGAGGATCCCCATTTATTTCATGTAGTTTCTCTTTCATAGTAATGAAATCCTTCTTTTCATTTACTTTAAAACTCTTCTTTATTTTTATATGCTACATCAAATTGGTTCCGATTGGGTTGCTCCATGTTTTGACTCGTGCAATTTTATAAGCATCAATTAACCATGATGCAGGAGGGGTGCTTCACAAATATCAACCTCAAGGCCCCAAGATATCTATCAGATATAAATTGTACTTCATAATCACCACCAACTACCTCATTTAATTGCACTTTCTACCACCAACTAACCACCCTTGTCAATCACCTCATTTAATTTGAAAAAGAGTTCTTTTTTGTGCCTATAAAAGGCATAAAAATGGACAAGATTTGGGTCAAAGAACATAAGGATAAGAGAATGAGAGATTCTTCTTATTTTGGTGAGTGGTTCTCCAATGTAATGTGTGTGATACCCAATTGTCATGGGTGAATGAGTCCCCATAATTTTGTGAGTGAATGCTCACTTATTTCATGTAATAATTGGCATGTAAAGCACTTTGGCTCTCACCACAATTCTATTTCATTTTTATGGGACATTAGATACCTTTAGTAGGTAAATGAATTTTTTTTCTTTGCTATTAGTCTATATTTAAATCACTCTTATGGGGCTACACTAGATTTTCTATTTTATCCAAAACCTGCATATTTTTGTATGCTATTTAAACTTACATTTCTATGATTCAATGAAGGAGGCTCATGTTACTCAAATATATATTTTAGAGTCATATTCAGCAATTGTTACTTAATATTCCTAGTAACTCGAGAGATTTTGGCTTTGTTTGGGAGCTGCTTATATTTCACGATTTTTGTTGTTGAGTGCTACTTTCTCAACTACTATTCCAAATATGCTTTTTTCAATGCATAGTTTTAGAAAAAGCTATGAAAAGTTTGCCATCCAAATGGAAATTACTTTTATTGGCTAATTTTCTTACCAGAGAAGCAATCATAAAGGACTATAAGCCCAAAATAGTCCCCTTTCAATTTAATCCCAGAGTTTCATAATAACCCAATATAGTTTTTCAACTATTAGAAAATGTCTCAACGTGGTCTCAATACCAAAAGTAATAGTTAAAATTAACTCCAACATTTAAATATGAGTGCAATTTGGGTGTTAGGGTGTATGCAAGATTATATTATTATTTTTCTATATTTTATCATTTATTATGTTAAAATAAATACAAAAATCATTGTGGAAGTTAACCAACTAAATAATGATGTGAAACATACATGTGATAAGAGTTGCTTTGGATTTTAACAATAGATATTGAGCATTAACTTTGCTAGCTAAAAACTTATGTTTCACCCAAGTCAAATCATTAGAATTTTCGTTAAAAGATTAAGTGATGGCAAGTGGTTACTAAGAGATTAGCAAGACAATCGTAATAACATAAAAAACAAAATAGTAATACTAATAGAAATAAAACAAGAATCCATGGCGTAACATCAATAAATAGACACCATGAGTTCCCTCTCACTCGCTCTCGATGTTGGGTTCATCGGAGGAATGGTAGAAGCAATCCCAATGACGCAACCACAAGACATGTGGCGCGTAGGGCCTTGTTTGCCGGAGAAGTAATCAGAGGAGAATAGCTCGTTGATCGGCCGACGAGAAGCAAGGTTCTTTGGGTCGTTGATAGTCAATCGTCTCAGCGAGGTAGTAGAGGACGCGGTTGACGTAGCTCTCCATGGAATCTTCGTATTCCCAATCCGGATCGTAGAAAGGGGAAACTAGGATATCGATTTCTCCTTGTGCGTTGTAGGCAAAACTGTGGTCGACCATACACAAATAATGTAAGGGAGGAAGGAGCTTGTCTTCTTCTCTTGGCTTCAGGATTAATGTGTGAACTAGGGTTTCCCAAGGGAGGAGATGCAAGTGAAGGGGGGGGGGGCAAGGGGACGGTTTGGATAAGGGAGGCTTGGGTTAGGTTAGAGAGGGGGAGGGATAGTTTTAACCAAATCTGAAACTAATTTCATATTCTAATTAGATTTGGAGGGTCTTAATTTGAAATTTGAATTCAAATTAAATTGAGATTGGGAGCCTCAATAGGAAGCAATAGGGAAAGCCCATTAATGGGGGGGGGGCAGGCATTATGAGAGGGAGGGGGATTTGGGAAAAATTATCAGAACTTCCTTATTGGTCTTTCTAATTTAGGAAGAGAATAAATCACTCCAGTCTAATTTAAAATTAAATTATGATTAGATTTGAGACTTTCTTAATATAGCTTTGTAATTTAGGAAACTATTTGAAATTTAAAATTTGAATTTCAAATTGTTGAAATTAATTTCCCAAATCATTTAAGCTATTTTAGGTAAGTAGTAATGATGATTTAATTCATCATTCAAGGAGAGAGGGACATGTGACCGGTGGTGGAGCTTGGGGAAGAAGTAGGGGGGGGGGCTTGGGAATGGGGGAAGTAAGCTAGGTTTCAAGTAGTTGGGGGATAGTGGGGAGGTGGCCGGCGGTTGGGCAAAAGGGAGGGGCGTCAGCTGGTAACTTGAGGGGCGTATGGGGGGGTTGGTTGGGGAGAAAGAACAAGAGACAAGAAGAAAGAAAATAGATCACGAGCCACGGACTACAATGACTGGTGGGTATTGCGCTCGCCCTCACCCCATGTTCTCTTTCTTCTCTCGAATGCACACGCAAGAAGAAGAAGACGGAATAAAAGATTTCATTCAATCATTCATCATCATTTTACAACACATAAGACCACTATATATAGGTCTCAAACATGAAAAAAGAAAAGTACACAATTGCCCTCCGGTCAACTTTAACAAAACACTCCCCATAAGGGTAAATTCGGAAAACAACAAAACTAAATAAAACATAAAGAAATGCATCAAAAGTAAAGACGCTGAATCGTAGCCGTCGATCTACAATTTCGTCGCCGGTACACATGTCAGAATCTCTGAACGATGTCCTCATCATTCTCCCCAAATGGGAGAAAGCTGGACCTCGTCGAGTAAGCATCTCTAGAACTCTCGTACCACTCCAACAGATCAGGATTCAATCACTGCAGATCCTCACGGTTAATCCACGTGTTCTCCGTCTCCAGTTTCCCTGTCCATTGAACTAGATACCTTCGGTGGCCACTGTCTTTAATGGAAATAATCTAATCACCAAGTATTTCTTCAACCTTCTCCGCAGTGGGTAAGATAGGGATGTTTGGGAGTGGAGGTAGGCTAGGGTTCTTACCAGGTGAGTTCACACAAGGCTCTTTGTTTAGTGGGTTGGAGGGGTTAAACTCTGGACCCTCAAATACTACTAGATCTTCGTTGTTAAATGTAGAATTAATGTTAAAACATTCAGGAAAGTCTAGCACATAAGCATTACTATTTATTTTTGAAGTTATTTTAAAAGGTCTTGCGCTTCTCGCATGTAACTTTTTAACGGTCCCTTGTGGGGACCGCTCAGGATGAATCCGAACCATTACAAAGTCTCAAACTTCAAATTCTTTGAATCGTTTCTTGAGATCCACATTATGTTTATAGTTAGCATTGCTTTGTTCAATTTTTTTGTTAATTTTCTTATGCAACTATTGGAGATGTGATGCAAATGCAGATGCAGACTTATATGCTCTGTACTTATGACTCATAGGGATCAGATCTATAGGCTGTCTAGGTTGGTATCCATAAACAATTTCGGAGGGACTTAGACCTATAGTTCGATTGACAGAATTGTTATAGGCGAACTCAGCTATAGATAATTTGGAATCCCAGTCCCGGATATTTTCTCCTACCAAAGTCCTTAAAATGTTTCCTAGACTCCTATTCACAACCTTAATTTGTCCATCTGTCTGGGGATGGAAAGCAGTAGAAAATTAAAGTTTGGTCCCCATCTTGTGCCATAAGGTTTTCTAGAAATAACTGGTAAACTTAACATCTCGATCTGACATAATGGTTTTGGGTAGTCCGTGGAGCCTAACGATTTCGTCAAAATACAATTTGACGATCCTAGAAGCATTGAAAGTTTTGGAGCACGGGAGGAAGTGAGCCATTTTAGAAAATCAGTCCACTACCACACAAACAGAGTCATGCTTTCTAACTGTTTTGGGTAGCCCTAAAACAAAGTCCATGCTAACGTCCTTCCATGGGCAATTGGGTACTGGGAGGGGTGTGTAAAACTCGGTGTTTTGCTTACGTTGTTTTGCTAACTGACAAGTGTGACATCTCTTTACTAGCCTACTGACACCGTGCTTAAGACTAGGCCAAAAAAATCGGCGCTCAACAGCGGCAATGGTTTTTGCTTGTCCAAAATGTCCTGCTAAACCTCCCGCGTGCAGTTCTCACACGAGGAATTCCCTAAGCGAAGTGTTTGGGATGCAGAGTTTTTGGGACTTAAAGAGATATCCGTCTTCTAAAACGAAATTATCAATGATGCGTTCACTTCCGTTGACCAATAATGCATGTGTCTTTGAAGTTTGGGCAATCCGTATAATTTTCTTTCATTTGTTCAAACCTAATTACTTCATTCCTCATTTCCCTAGTGATCATTATCCGTTGACTTAAGGCATCGACTGCCTTATTTTCAGATACTGCTTTGTGTCGGATTGTGTAAGTATAGTCTTGAAGGAATTCGACCCAATGACCATGTCGTACGTTCATTTTCTTTTGTGAGTTTATGTACCGCAAGACTTCGTGGTCAGAGAAAATAACAAATTCTTCGGGAGGTAGGTAGTGTCTCCAATATCTAAGGGACTGGATGATAGCATATAATTCCTTATCGTAGGTAGAAAATCGTTGCCTGCTGTAACTAGAAAGAAAGAAAGCTCACGTAAATGTAGTCGGTTACTCAAATTGTCACAGAGCAGCTGCAATCCTATCTTCTCACAGCATTGCTTGCAAGATAACACCATGACTTATAACATGTTAGCTAGCTTGTAAGCAGTCAGCGTGGGGTGAAATGTATTTGGTTCAGATATCTTGGATTTTTTTTCCCAACAACTTCGCTATGATTTTCTGTAACAGGGAACTGTTTTTGTTCTGCGCCATGTTTCCTGTTCTAGTTTTAATGTTTGGCAGCCTATCATTCCATTAGTTAATGTTAACAATTATAATGGCATGTTAATGTGCTCTTTTGAATTAATGCAGGTACCACCAGTGTCGAAAGCTTACCTACTGATTTCCGGGTAACCCCTGTGAACAACACACTTCGTTTGCAACTTATGACTGTTTTCTGTCGTTCAGTTGCTGCTGCCAATGCCTTCCCATCTGCACTTCAGTGCATTTTCAGCTGCATATATGGTACTGCACATTTCTTCCCTGTTTTTTGCTTAACAGTCAATAACTCAGTTGTTTATTGTTCTCTTTCTTGTTGTTTAATTGTGCTTATTGATGTAGTGTTTGGGAATGAATCTACCGTGTGACCTTTTTTTTTTCATTCAGAATTTGATATAAAATTCTTTTTCAAATATATTTATTCAATTTGGAACGGTTTTATCAATGAATAATGCTCAAACCATCTGCAGCCTGTAGGGAAAGGTTGATGCACTCTGCTTTATCCATGCAATGGTTGGTGGTTTTTTTATTGTCCTTTTGTGACTTGAAATGTGAATTTTAGGTTCAGTGGTGGCCATGTTACCTCTGGTCCAGACCTCTTATTTCACCAGTGATTTTAATTAATGAAATTGGTTTCATCCCTTCATGACATCTATAGTCTTTCTTTTTCTGGGTTCAGGATATTCCGCAGAAAAAAAAAAAAGAGAAAAAAAAAAGATATTCCGCAGAAACTTTCTGTAAATTGTGTTAGTTGGTAATACATGTTATCGTGTCTGGTCAGTTTCTTGTGAATTTTGGTGGTATAGGAGGCTCTTACTTACAATTTTTTTTTACTTCAATTTTCTTTTTGTACCCATTCTATTCTAGGAAGCTGGGAAAAGTGCATCCGATTTCTCTTTGTAAGTGATAAATATTTTCAAAGCAACTTTCAAGCTAAAGCTTAAGAATGATTAATTTTTGTGCATGGAAATTATTATAAGTTTTGTTTTTTCCTGGTATACCCTCAAAACATTAGAACTTACCGGTATGCCTACTTGAAATATCTCTTACCTACTTGAAATATCTCTCTCTCCACATCCATGCTAAGATAATCTTTTATTCTTTTGAGTGCATGTGTTTGTAAATCTAGTTATTTTCTATTAGTTATTGTTTAACCTGTGAATTGTTAATCCCTGCTTGGGCTTACAAATTCCATACTAATTGTCTTGTTGCAAATCTCTCACCCAGCTTATGTGTATGCTGGACTCGATTGTCTACTGGCCTCAGATGAGGTGTATGCAAGTGAATTCTTTGTTTCTTGAAGCCTAATGTATTTCAAATGATGAACATTGGAGGTTAATATTAAACAATGGTTATTTGAATATTTAATCAGGAAAAATGAATAGAGAAGGGTTTCCACCATCTAATTTGTGGATCTCAATTTTTAGTTCTTATGCTTTTGATTAGCAAGAATGATGTAGAGTAGGGTGTGAAATCAAGAGTTCTTGACTCACCAATTGGAATGCAATGGCTATAACAGACAAAGAAATTGTGTTTTGAGAAGTGGAAATAATTAATAGGAGAGAATATGGTGGAAAGAATTAAGAGAAGAAGAATTAGTGAAAGGACATTGCAAAAGAAAAGAAATGAAAGTAAAGGGACACGTCAAGGTGTAGGAAGTTCGGAGGGAGAGTAGAACAAAAGAGGTATAGAGAGAGTGAGGAACAACATAGAAGGGGGTATCAGAGATTGAGAGAGAGAGAGAGTGAATCTCATAAGGTGAGCAAGTTAGAAGATGGAAGAGAGTGAGAGTTTGAGAGTGAGAATGTGCGAGAAAGAGGTGAATAAGAGAAGGAAGATTTGCTAGACAAGGGGGATTGCACTACCATAGAGAGGGTTGAAAGCGTAGCCAATAATTCTTCATTATGCCATCAAAAGTTATTAAAGGGTAAAAGACCCTTAAGATAATTTGAAAGAAAAAAACACATTATATCTTAATGGATAATCCAAAAGTAAAGTCAAAATAAAAGAAAATATTTGTCAACCATAAATCTGCTAAGAAAGCATAAAAATAATAATTAATCCTACCAAAGGTTCTGAATGTATGCCTAGATCATATGGTCATCATAGTTGAGAAGTGAAGAACTCTCCTTTAGAGTGTTATCCTAAATATTCTCATCAAGAAGAGTCTGCTCAGTTCGATTTATTTTAAATTGAATACTATTTGAATCTGAATTGATGAACTGATCTAAAACTTAAACCGAGCCACAGTTCAATTTTGGCTCCAATCGACTAGTATTTGAGACCGAATTGATTAAGACCTAAAACTAAAATAGCAATTACATTGTGGCCTATCGAAATCAAACTGACCATTTTGTAATTTGTCTTTGATTTCAGTTTTTATATTTGCTTGATTCAATTTGGTTTTAAATGATTTTTAATTCTTTGGTTTTGTTTAGTTTCATCTAAATTAATGTATCAATAATATATGATATATGAAGAAACATATGATTGAAGAGCGAATCAATTGATAAATTAATTATCGATTCGGTTTGATTTATTTTAGTTTGATAAATCTCAAATCTAAATAATCCAAATAAGTATATTTAAACAAAAATGCTAAATCATGTTTTGGTTTAGCTAACTTGGTTTACCTGGCTTTTTTGTACTCAACTCTTCATGCATTACTCTCAAATTATTTGACATGGGATGGTGTCATCGATGAACCAAATAATAATGTTATCTTGAAGGGCCTATTGTAATGTCATATGATTGAATCATCTAAACATCTATAATTGGTGGAAGAATTGTAATTAGTGATGTTGTGGAGTATGTATAAACTCTACTTACAGAGATAAAGTATATAAAAAAGGTGTGAAGATATATGAATTTTCTCAATGTACCGAAATATTCTACTTCAGAATAAAATTGCCTAAACTTTATGTAGTTTAAAGAATTCTAGTACATGAAATTGTCGAAAATATATTTTCTTACAAATGATGTAAGGGACCCAAATTTTTGCTAGAAAAATACAACCTTTCTAGATAATATAAAAAAGCATAAAAAGAAGAAAAATTAAACAAACTTTACTTATATAAAATAAAGGACTTACAAACTTGACTTCTACAAATGACACAAAAACAAATTAAAGACATAAACTCCTAAAGTTTCTTTCCTTGAGAAGAAGGATACAGGTGGGGTGTAAACTTGCGGATAGAAGAATAGGTTAGAAGCTGAGACGAAAGAGGAGAGGCTTGCAAGCTTTCCTAGAAGAGGAGTAGAAGAGATGGAACAATCTTGCAAGCTTTTCCAACAAACCCGCAGGTTTACATTTCCAAAAATCATTCACATAACATGCTTCTAAAACAGCCACAAACCATCTCTATATATAGACAAGGGAGGGGAATACAAACAGCCCCAAAAACCCTTTAATATTCTATATTAAATAAGGAAAATGAAAAGCCAACAGTCAACTCCAGGAAATGAAGCACCAAAGCCACGGAAAAGTCCCCCATCCGCCACCGTAAAACAGCCCAGGAGGAACCCGAAGAGGCAGCCACAAGAACCCAGGAGGCCCGCACGGAACCGAAGCACCAAGGCACGGGAAAGGCCACCCAGCACGGAAAAAGTGAACTAAAAACATAGCTCATAATGAGCTAACTCTTAGTTCAATAAATGAACTAAAAACCAGCTCAAAATGAGCTAAATTCCAGCTCAAAAATTAATGAGCTAGCAAGCTCAAGGGAAGTCAAAACTAAATTTTTTTGGGTTTGATTTGACCCCCCCTTTGTCTACATCAGACTCCCCTACTTGAGAACTCATCTCCCGATGAGTTAGCTTTGTTCTGAAGGCGTTGCATCAAGAGACACCAACGCTTGAGATTGCTCACTTGACACCAATACTCAAATGACAACATAACTCAAAAGAAAACTTTCATGATAACTAACATGACATCAAGACACACACGACTCATAAACCTAGGACTTCCTAACTTGCTATGATACCAAAATGATGTAGACCCAAATTTTTGCTAGAAAAATACAACCTTTCTAGATAATATAAAAAAGCATAAAAAGAAGACAAATTAAACAAACTTTATTTATATAAAATAAAAGACTTACAAACTTGACTCTTACAAACGACACAAACACAAATTAAAGACATAAACTCCTAAAGTTGCTTTCCTTGAGAAGAAGGATACAGGTGGGATGTAAACTTGCGGATAGAAGAAGAGGTTAGAAGCTGAGACGAAAGAGGAGAAGCTCGCAAGCTTTCTTAGAAGAGGAGTAGAAGAGATGGAACAAGCTCGCAAGCTTTTCCAACAAACCCGCAGGTTTACATTTCCAAAAATCATTCACATAACATGCTTCTAAAACAGCCACAAACCATCTCTATATATAGACAAGGGAGGGGAATACAAACAACCCCAAAAACCCTTTAATATTCTATATTAAATAAGGGAAATGAAAAGCCAACAGTCAACTCCAGGAAACGAAACACCAAAGCCACGGAAAAGCCCCCCATCAGCCACCGGAAAACAGCCCAGGCGGAACCCGAAGAGGCAGCCGCAAGAACCCAGGAGGCCCGCACGGAACCGAAGCACCAAGGCACCGGGAAGGCCACCCAGCACGAAAAATCAGCAGCCAACCGGGGAAACCAAGGAGCCCAAGCATGGAAAACCAAGAGCCATCCACGAGAAACGAATAGATAAGGGGAAGGAGAAGAGGCAAAATTAATGAGCTACTAATAAATTAATAAGTGAACTAAAAACATAGCTCATAATGAGCTAACTCTTAGTTCAATAAATGAACTAAAAACTAGCTCAAAATGAGCTAAATTCCAGCTCAAAAATTAATGAGCTAGCAAGCTCAAGGGAAGTCAAAACCAATTTTTTTTGGGTTTGATTTGACCCCTCCTTTGTCTACATCAATATTCAACCCATTTACCTCTCTCTATGAGAAAGTGAGCTATTGTTCTCTTCTTTAATACGTGTTACATTTGTTTATTCTTTTTCAAGTTGAATTTTACTAATTTAGTTCTATTATGGATGATCTTCTAAATTTTCCTCTAGTTACATTCAAATTAGAGATGTAAGCAAATTTGAGCACTTGTTAAGTTGCTCGAAACTCTATTTAAGTCATTTAATAAACTTTAATAAAAAATTTAAAATTAAACATATAAATGAATATGTTACAACAATAAATTTAGAATTTGATAAAAAAATTCATTTATTTATATTCATGAACATGCTCATTTGTTGTTCAACA